TAACATTTCGTAGGTTTCCTCATCTGTCATGCCCAATTTGAAGCAAAATTTAATGTTAATTCTTTGCTCCATTTTCACTTCGACAATAGGAATTTAAGAGCTATGTTTTAATGTGCCTTTCCACGAGAACCACTTACTTTAGAATGGCACCAATTGCACTGCACATACGCAAGAAAATGCTCTTCAATATGCAATCATTAGTGCCATCTGCCATCTACCAACTTTTCGTTCTTCTACAGTTACGTCAGTCCTGGAAATTAAAAGCTGGACCTTGTAGGATAATTTGTTTTGTAATTTTTATGCTTGTTAAATAGTACTAAACAATATAGGACAAGATGTACTGTGGGAGGCTGATTGTCTGGGCAAGACTGGATATATTTCTTTGGGAGACAATTAATATTATATATTGATATAATATTTTATAATGTCTGCTATAAAACATAGTTAAGAGTTTTTAAAGTAATTGCAAATTAAAATGTAATCAACAGCTTTAAAAAGTAAAAAAAAAATTTTGCTCTGTTCCATTGTTTTTGAAGCAGCCAACTCAAAACAGAACTTTTCTTACAAATTATGAGAAAATAACTTATTTCCAAATTTGCTAATATATGTTTTACATTTATATAAGCAAGCTTCTGGGGAGAAAAATTTAACCAAACTGCAAGGAATATATTTTTAGCTCTTTGTTTCAAGTTTAAGTAATGATTTTTTAAATGTTACCAAATTCATGTATATGAATAACAGTGAAAAATTTCACATAAATTAAGAAAATGAAAAACATGCCCTACAATTAACTATCAAATTCAAGTGAAGTCTCATTGCATAAAATGATTGTTAAATAAATATGCTGAGTTTGGCAAGAAATAAGTCATTAAACGTACAGTAAAACGAACAGAGTGAAAAGGTCATACTAGCCTTATATGTGTCCTCTGGTTAGATTGTCATGAGATACTGTAGATGCTCATTTATCATAATTCATCAGTAATTGTAGATGCTCATTGATCATTAATTCATCAGTAATTGTAGATGTTTATCGATCAATCTGTTCCCCCCTTAAGCTTATTTATTTTCAACTGTGAAAAAATTTTTTCCCATATTATTATACTCTCAAACAAAGTGATAATCCTTATTGCAAAAATTTGTAACTAAGGGTATTTATTAATTGACAGATATAGAAAAAAGTTAATTAAATCTGTAATCTTAAAATCTTTGAATAAGATTTATATTACAGAGTAAATTAATTAGCTCTATTTGTAGATTTTCTGGGACATTACTCACATTAATTTTTAATGATAATGAAAATAATGTAAAACTGGACAAAAGAAACCTGCCATGGAAAATTGCTTCAAAGGCAGCTTGCAGTTTGATATGGCTGGCCTAGGGCAATGAAAATGTTATACAGTCAAAAGTCGTTAATTCGGACACCCATAATTCGGAATGATCTATAATCCGCACCTCAAAGCTAAAAACCTTCTGCGCATGCGCCACGTTGACACATGCGCATAGGCGTTTACGCGTGCGTGTAAGACCTTTCCGACTGCGCATATGCGTGTACGCAATCGCAGAATAAGTTTTCGCATGCGCGTTTTATGTATAACGAACGGTATAAGCTAAAATTATCCAATTATCTATTTCATTTAATGTTGATGATTGCGCTGTTCCTTAATCTTCGAATTGGATCCGGCTTATTATTTTTTGCAGAAAATAAGAGCAATTTTATAAAAATAAACTTGAACTTTCGATTATGTCAAATAGAATATCCAATGCTGGAGCTCTCAAAGGATCTAAAAAACGAAAGTATGTTTCGATGTCCATCAAACAAAAAGTGGAATTGCTGCAAAAAATGGATAAAGACATGATGAAGGTGACAGAGAGGTTAGTGAAAACGAAAAAATTTCGATTGATAAGTTAGTCGGTATTCTCGACACAAGCAATTACAGGACTTGAACAGTGGAACTTTGTAACTGAACAAGAAATTATGTCTGTTTATAGAATTAAAGAGAAAGTATTATCACAAAAACAAAGCAACTTAAACAACTTACATTGAAAGAAATGTTTAAATAAAGTAAACAAATAAATATTAAGCTTTTTTTTGTAAAATTTTGATACCCTTTAGATCATAATTGCTCTTTATTTCATAAATTACAGTTTCATATTTTAATTTTAGAATTTCTGCATGCCATCTTACGAGATTTAAACTGATGATCTATAATCCAGAATCGCCGAAGTCCCGACGAGTCGGATTAACGACTTTTGACTGTAGCTGAGACCACTTTAATGTTTTTTAATGGGACTGAGGGTTTTTTTTACTTGACGCTCAATTTGTGACCAAATACTAAAAATTTTTTTGTCATATTATCTATATATATTGGAGAATTGAAAAATGAGCTTTTTCTTTTTATAAAATACTTATATATATATATATATAATTTTTATCATGAGAAACTAAAGTTGCCAGAAAAAACAATTTCAGATGTTATCACCCCCCAAAAAATTTTTCTAAATAAATTTCAGTCGAATTACAGTTAATTTATATTTATTGCATAATATAAAAAAGCAAAATGTATAAAATTTAAGAAAATATAAAGCACTGAGGAAAAACTACCGTAGAAATGCAGTTTAGTATGATAGAGTTCAAAACAGGTTTCAAGACAAAGTCTAACTTCACGGTCTTTGCACCAGATTCAATAAATCTAGTTAATGATCAATCTAATTAATAATTCAATAATTTAATTAAATAATTAAGATAATTGCTGAATGTTTTCTAGCAGCCATTTCTGTAAGAAAAAAACACCAAAAAGTGAAGTTTGAGCGGTAATACCACGTGCCTTCAAATGCCGCAATTTAGTGGAGAACTAACAATATCTGTTGGCCAATATGTAAACTAAACGTCTAATACTGTATATAATTTATTTCAATGGGAAAAAACGGGATGCGCTCCTCAATAAAGGAAGAAAAACACATGCCCGGGGGATGAGCAGATTTTGCTACATTTGAGTTGCCCGTGGAAATCGCAGGATGAGCAGCCAGAGGGTTAAGGCTGTCTATATATGCATTTTGTACTGGACTTTAAAAACAATTTACATACTATCAGGTCAACATTTTGCAGAATAATTAATTGGGTCTGAACAGTATATTGCCTTCGATAGTAAATAATGAAATAAAGTGTTATTATATTGTGGATGACTGTAACATGGAAACTGGTACATGAGAAAGCAGCATTTATTATCCACATACAATTAAGCGTAATTCATTTGTAGAATGCTGCCATTCAGCAAGACATAAGACATTTAGTTTATCTTTCAAATTTAATTAGTTTATTCACTAACATATTGGACAATTTTTAAGTCAGTTAGCACACTTCTTGATAATTAAAATTTTTATTTTACTTTTTAACATAATGCTTAATTAATATAAATTATGATACTGTTGCATGTGTACGGGTTTGTAAAGTCAATATACAGTTAATAAAATTTATTCGGTACTTTTCTGTTTCAGCGGCGCAAATCTCGCCAAGCAGACTTTATTGGCAACAACATGCAGTATACACTTAAAAAATGTTAACAAGTATTAGTTGTTAGTTCTAAGAAATTTTTATTTTGAAGGCATAAACATTTTAATATCGTTTAAAATTTTGTAAAAAACAAGTAAATAAAGAGTATAAATTTGTAAAAAGACATTAATATAAGAATTTATTATGCTTTCATAGCTGATTCAGGCTGTCATATCATGTGACCCCTAGCGATCTTATCTCGCGTAAACTACGCTACAAAAATCAAATTCTCTCAGTCAATTAATCTACATTAATTTCAAGTTAAATCTTAATTTGGAATACAAGTTTAAATGGAAGAATTATTTCAGAAAGGAAATATTATTGAAATATTTATTGAAAGAAATGTTTAATAAAAGTAAACAAATAAATATTAGGCTTTTTTTTGTGCATGTGTGTAAATTTTGATACTCTTTAGATCATAATTGCTCTTTATTTCATAAATTATGGTTTCATACTTTTAATTTTATAATTTCTGCATGCCATCTTACCAGATTTAAATTGATGATCTATAATCCAGAAAAACCGATAATACGGAATCGCCGAAGTCCCGACGAGTCCAGATTAAAAGACTTTTGACTGTATTAGACTGTTATCTAAAGTTTCCAGATTGCAATTTTCTCTCCTATTTATTTATTTTTGATTCATAACTAGTTTTTTTGTGCACATTCTTAAGAAATTACTTTCATAATTATTGTTGTTAACTGAAGAAAAATGTGTTCTATTTTTTTAAAATACAAATATATTAAAATTGTTTTTAACATTTTATAATAAAATTTTAATTTGTTACTAATGTAAATTAAAGTATTAAAGAAAAGAAGAAGAAAATTAATTTTTTAACATACGAGCTTGGTATGGGATGCCTTGGTACTTTTCCGTTTTGCCGGCACAGGCGATAAAGTCGCTAATAATGGTACAACTGATGCCAAACAGAATATCCTCAATGGTAACCTTTGATGCCTCATTTTCGAAACAAGTCGCAACTTTCTTTCAATACTGGTATACAATTTGTTATCATTTTTTATGTGCACACTGTATGTTGTTGCCAATAAAGTCCGCTTGGCAAGGTTTGCGCAGGTGAAATAGAAAAGTACCAATGCCTTTATTTCATATTTTATACTAAAACAGTAAATTAATTTTCATTATTTTTTGTCAAATATAGTTTTAATATTGAAAAGCTAGGATTTTTCTAGTTGGATAGATGTTAACCATAGGGCCATTTAGTTATAAAAGATACTCATAAATACCTTGTAGGTCAGTAACTTATCACAAGGGATTTATAAAAAACACAAAATTTAGCCTGTTTGAGAATTTTATTTTATTTATATCTTGTTGTTAATTATTATGTGTGCTTCCACCTTGAGGGTTTCATTTGCAGAGGAGATTAGAAGTGTATCTACGGTTTTTGTCTAAAATAATAATTACCTTGCTATAATGTGTTTATATTTTATAGGTTAGTTCATATCGTTTGCCTATGGGATGATAAAGGTCCACCAAAAGTGTATAATAGTTTACAGGATAATATCTTAGATTTTATACGACAAGCTCAGTCTGTAAGTAACAGTTTCCAATCATTTATTTAGCTTCCAAATAAAAGTTATTAATTGTAGTAAATTTAATGAACTGTTTAAATAATGAAATTAGGTATTTGTCTCCCTTTTTGTGTGTATTTATATCTATGTATGTATGTAGATAAGGTTAGTTGAAAATATATCACTTACTGTAATCAACTATTCCGTTAATGTTAGCAGAACACTATGGAGCGAATTTTTCAAAATGAACTAAATTCTGCCAGTAAGGTCAAAATAAATTTTTAAAATTGCCAAATAACAAAAAAATTTCACCAATTAAGGGATGAAGTCAAGAAACTGCTCTTTTTATTTATTTATTTATTTATAATTAGCCAAAAAAAAATCTTTTGTTTAATTTGGCACAGATTTTTAATAATTCTGTTGATTTCGAGAACAATCAGACACAAATCTTTGTTCTTCAAATAGAAGAAAATAACACAGGATATCTGCCAGGTGCTTTCTGAAACCAATCCAAGTACATCAGTAATAAACTTTCTGAGTAATATAAAGATGAACTTGATGAATTTCCTATAAATGCTGATATAACAAATGCCCTTTCAAATATTAAGATCAGGGGAACAACATCCGTCAGATGATTTCCAGAAACATTAAACAGTTCATAAAAAAACCTTTTTGTAAGGTTTGCAGACAGTCCACTGTAATGACATTTTTTGTAGTTAAAATGCTGTGAAAATAAGTATTTATGTGTTTTAACTTGCATTTATATTAAATTAGTTAAATTCTATTGCTGATTTGAAGGATAGTTTTTCACATCACTTAATGTTATAAATAGTCATGCACAAACATAGTCCCATTACACGCCACTTATTGTGTGTGTATATATGTAAGATAAAATATGGAATTTGCTAACTTAAATTTGGCAGTGTCGTCTTTCAGGAGTCTAAGTTATGTGATTTGAAAACTAATCCACATTATGTCATCTGCGTTGCCGTAAGCTCTTGTCCAGTCGCAGGCCAAAATTTAAATAAGGCATTCAGCTCTTATTAAATACCCCTTTGCTGAAATGCACAATCACTTTTCTACTCTCTCTTGCCTTACTAGTACGCATGTCATGATACATACAAATTTATACAGTCAAAAGTCATTAATTCGGACACCCATAATCCAGAATGATCTATAATCCGGACCTCAAAGCTAAAATCTTTCTGCGCATGCGCTGCGTTTGCGCATGCTCATAGACGTTTTACGCGTGTGCGCAAGGCATTTACGACTGCGCATATGCGTCTGCGCAAGCGCAGAATACGTTTTCACGTGCATGTTTAATGTATAACAGACGGTATAAGCTAAAATTATCTATTTCAGTTAATGTTGATGATTGCGTTGTTCCTTAATCTTCGAATTGGATCCGGCTGATTATTTTTTGCAGACTGTAAGAGCAATTTTATAAAAGTGAGCTTGAACTTTCGATTATGTCAAATAGAATTTCCGATGCTGGAGCTCCCAAAGGATCTAGAAAAGGAAAGAATGTTTCGATGTCCATAAAATTAAAAAACGAATTGCTACAAAAAATGGATAAAGGTATATCCTTTGTTTATCTAACCATTCCGAAATCTGTTTATCAATTTCACGCTGCTCTGCGCGGGGGGGGGACGCCGCGGTGCACAATGAACTGGAAGTTGATCTGTCAGCACTATCGTTATCTTCAGGGCAGATGTTTTTATTTTCTTCGGCTTATAATTCCTTACCAAATGTACTATTTAATCTCGATGTACTCCGTCTTTGATATGATTTAAATCAAATTCCTCGTCATTATAAATATCACGAATACAAATCAAATGGTTTTCTGGTTGCAATTTTCTAATTTCGGCTTTGCGTAAGGTATGCTTTACGCATGCAGGCGTTGAAAGAAATGTTTAGTAAAGTAAACAAATAAATATTAAGCTTCTTTTTTTGTAAATATTGCTCATTATTTTATAAATTACGGTTTCATATTTTTAATTTTATAATTTCTGCATGCCATCTTACCAGATTTAAACTGATGATCGATAATCCGGAATTGCCGAAGTCCCAACGAGTCTGGATTAAAGACTTTTGACTGTATATAACATCTGATTCCTCTCTGCTTGTTTTTAAAATGAAATTTCTTAATTTCAATATAATTCTTTGGAATTTGCTTTAACTATGTGAAATAAAAATGTAAATTATATTTCAAAATAATTTTTTCTTATTCCTACTTAATTAGTTCATTGGTTCTGAGAATAAACTTTAGACTGCATTATTTATGTTTGTGTTACATCCTTTTAATGATTGGAATGTTTTGAATAGATATATAATGTTAAGCTTATTTCGAATTGATAGAACAATATGCATATTGCCTTCTCAGTGTCACTTACATGCCCACCATGTTCAGTTTATCTATTGACCCTCTATTATTATCTATTACAGTGTTCTCTTTCAATGAGGGTTGCTATCCGAGTTGAGATTAGGGGTTCAGCATCGATCAAATATTTTTTAGAAATGTTATGAACAGCTCATAAATGAAATTTTGCATTAAAGACAATTCAGAAACAGTTTTTTGTTATTTCCTTGTAGAATCAGTCATTAGTTTATTTTAAAGCAGGAGAGAGGAAAAATTAGCAATGCCCTCACCAGGACTCGAAACACAGACCTCTCGATATGAGCCGAGCGTTCTGACCACTACACCATGAAGGCATGCTAATAAGGTGGGAGATACCATATATACTCTTCCTTTTAAAGGACGACTGGAGATTAGGAGACCCAATCGCCAAATCTTGGTGGCGGAGAATCATCATCCACCACCCTTTTAAGTTTGGCCACCACTGTAGAGACATTAGGATTTTTGATGCTGAGAGACATGAAAAATGAGCATTGCGCTCACCGTGACTTGAACGATGTATCTCTCGATACACACCGAGTGTGCTGACTACTACACCACAAAGGCATGCTAAGAAGGCAGGAAAAATACCTTATATCATAATAAAATGCTGAGAAATTATGTATTTATATTAACTTGGTTAAATTTCATTATTATTTTTAAAGTCTTTTTTTTTTTTTTTTTTTTGTAAATCACAGCAGCAGCTAGTATGGCATCAAACACCCAACAAGTACCTTCCCTTCTTGGTAGAATGTAATAGCTTCATTTTCACATGATAACACATAGAAAATTGTCAAAATATTTAATAATTAATTAAAATCAGAACCAAGCTGTTTGTTGACTTAATCCCTTGCTTGGCAACATTTCTCTATCACTTGCTAATTATTATTATGTATTCTAACCTTATTCACTTCAGTTAAAAAATATTTTATAATATTTTGATCGTATTAACTGAATTTTTGATCACAATAAGCAAAGTAGTCTCCATATTTTTTGTATGTATACAGGTAGGACTTTGGTAGCTCAATAATGATGATCACATTAAGTGGCATCTACTCTGCAGTAAGTTTTTCTTTTGTGGGAGAAAAGTATGACTCCAAACTTGGCGAAATTTTTACCTCAGTGCTTTTAATCTCCAGCAAAAGTAACAAGTCTGATTTTTTTTTTTTTTTTTTTTTTTTTTTTTTTTAGTGCTGCAATGCCAGTTGCCCTGTGTTGTACTTGAGAGAAATTTCTGGTATTAATTTAGTGGCAAAGTATATCAGAAACATCTATCTGCTACTAGCTAGCTACTTCAGTTGGTGATTTGTAATAGCTGTTTTCTACATTGATGAGTTTTCATTTAATCAAGAAAGGCTATGGCTATTTATGTTACTCTTTCAATGAGTGAAAATGTAGTATTAATCTCTTACGGTGCATTGTAGGTTATACTGTTCATGGTAAGATGGAGTGATTGAAAACTTTGCCACCCTTAAAGGAGTAATTAACAGTTAAGGAAAGTTATCACTAGACAAAGTATTTCATTGCTTGTTTGCATGTTTGTATACTTTTTTTCATTAACATAGCCTAGCTGATAATACTACTCTTGAATTTTTTCATCATATCTCCCAGTCTCTTGATAGATCATCAAATTTTCCAATTTTTACTCTTTACTAAGTAAAATGTATTGAAATAATGGAACCTGAACTGTGCAAATTCTATTCCTCCATGCATTGTGATTTTTCAGCATAATTTTCCGTACTTAATTTTATTTAATCTGAATTGTTCGAATATACTCTAAACATTCATAGAAATTTTTATGAAGATTCAACCAATGTTTAAGCATTTAATAGTAGTATTTAATTTTGTGTTGCATTAGTCAACAATACATTATTAAGTCTATCCTCACAGCAGTATGTATGTTAATTATTAATACTATATTCCTCAGGACTTTGATTAAAAGGAAAATTCCCCCTCTGCTTGCGACTTTTTTAACATAAAAGTGTAAGAAAATTAGGAAATAAAATTAACCAAAGTATATAAAATCTAGAGTATCTGTTAAATATTAATGTACTTGTCATTAGAATCATATTATCAATAGTTCAGTAAACTGAATTTTTGGAGTTTTTTTTTTTTTTTTTTTTTTTTTTTTTTTTTTTTGTGTGTGTGTGTGTGTGTCGCAAAACTATGCCCTGCAAAAGCCTCTTTCAAAGTTGGCAGCTGTGACATAGGTGTTTAGATACCTATGTTAATGGAGAAAAGCCAAAATTCACCAAAAAAAAAAAAAAAAATTGAGTAATTGCACTGTAAGCAATTATTCATTCTTTTGAGCATTCATTTTTTGTATCCACTAAACAATGAAGGTGATGCTGTTAGTTTCATAAAACAGTATATATACAACAGTTGGTATATGTTACCAAGTAACCATCAACATTTCGTAGTTCATACATAACATATCTAATGGATATGGGGTTCTTCAGGGTGAGTTTCTTACAACAGTAAAATATATTATGAAGTAACCATCAACATTTCGTAGTTCATACACAAAATATCTAGTGGACATGGGGTTCTTCAAAGTGACAGAACAAGAAGCACTGAGGTACAGCAAGACAACATTTGATGTCTAGTACCACTTAGAGGAGTTCATGTGGTAGAAAGTTGCAATTCAGGCTAAAAAACTTTTAGAAGCAATTGCCTAACACTTTCCATCTCAAATAAAGAAAAACTAATTGTATTAAATTACCACCAAAGTTAGCCAATCCTTCTCTGTTAACATGTAAGTAAGTAGCAGTGTTTCATTGTGAACATATATTGATCAAAACACAATCTCGCCAAACATTTTCTCCAAATTTTATCCGATCACAAAATTTACTGAAATGAACATGTATTTATCTGGTTAGTAATCTTTGGGAAAATGATTAATAGTAATGCTCGCAATTTGTGGACTATAATTAAGGCTTTGCTGGAAAAAGTCACAAGCACAGACTCGCTCTTCAAAGGTGTATTTCTTTAAAATATTTTGACTTGATTTCATGTTAACTTGATTCACATATACTTTTTACAGAACGTTCTTGCTCATCAGGAGGATCAAGCTTTGCTGAAGGCATATATAGCAGAATGGAGAAAATTTTTCACGCAGTGCAATTATTTGCCAATGCCATTTGGACAGTTGGAAATCACATTAGCTGGCAAATCTGCTTCAATTCAGAAGAAAGGACAGAGTGAAGAAAGTGTAGTTCGGAAGGTTGTATATATTTATTTATCTCTTTCTTGTATGAAATAAAAGGAAATATTATAATGGCAAAAAATTTCAGTTAATGGATTTCAGCAGAAATATTCATTTTGACCCTTCCCAATTCTTTTTTTTTGGGGGGGTGCATGCCGTCTATACATATGGGCAGAATGAATTACTTTTTATTACAAAATAGATTGTAAAATGGATTTAAAATGTAATTTTTCATGATGTTAGTATTACATATGTATCTCGCATAACATATCTAATCAAATGATTAGCCATAGAACATTGAAATTTTGTACATGGTACTGCTATAAGATCTAGTTGTTCACCTCCCTTTTTACGTATTGTAATCACGAAAAATTCCAGGTATCATATTTCAACGAAAATATCAATTTTAACTGCTATCAAATGCAATTTAATGTTGCTTTTTGTCACCTGTACATAAGGACAGAATAAAGGACTCTTTCCCCAAACGAATTATAAAACTGATTTAAAAAGGATTCAGAAGAGATTTTTTCATGCCTTCTGTACATATGTAGGTATCTCCCATAACTCAAAAACGAGTAGCCTCATAAGGTTGAAATTTTGTATATAGGACTGCTATAACATGTAGTTGTGCACCTCCCTTTTTGGTTGCAATCGACCGCACCAGAAGTATTATACTCGGCTCCGAGAGCTGAGTTTTTTTTTTACTCTTATATGTTGGTAAATTGTTCATTTTTTACTCTAAAAATGATTGAATTAAGTTGTTCTTATCTTTTTTTTAAGGTTTCTGTAACTTTAGTTAATCTGCGTGCAATAGTTATAGAATTATCAACAATTTAAAAGTTGCTTAAGTGCAGCTAAGCGTAATTTTTCGTACCATAGCTGCCATATTGGTTTACATTTGAAACTTAGCAGAATAGTGAATTAAATCTGTCTTCACCTTCAGTGTCTTTTTGCCGAGTGGGACCAAAAGGAAACTTTTAGATTTTGTGCACCAAAAAATCTGCCTTTTTGCCTGCTAGCCATCTTGCTTATTTTTGCATGCCGTCTATACATATGGGCAGAATGAATTACTTTTTATTACAAAATAGATTGTAAAATGGATTTAAAATGTAATTTTTCATGATGTTAGTATTACATATGTATCTCGCATAACATAGCTAATCAAATGATTAGCCATAGAACATTGAAATTTTGTACATGGTACTGCTATAAGATCTAGTTGTTCACCTCCCTTTTTACGTATTGTAATCACGAAAAATTCCAGGTATCATATTTCAACGAAAATATCAATTTTAACTGCTATTGAATGCAATTTAATGTTGCTTTTTGTGTCACCTGTACATAAGGACAGAATAAAGGACTCTTTCCCCAAACGAATTATAAAACTGATTTAAAATGGATTCAGAAGAGATTTTTTCATGCCTTCTGTACATATGTAGGTATCTCCCATAACTCAAAAACGAGTAGCCTCATAAGGTTGAAATTTTGTATATAGGACTGCTATAACATGTAGTTGTGCACCTCCCTTTTTGGTTGCAATCGACCGCACCAGAAGTATTATACTCGGCTCCGAGAGCTGAGTTTTTTTTTCACTCTTATATGTTGGTAAATTGTTCATTTTTACTCTAAAAAATGATTGAATTAAGTTGTTCTTATCTTTTTTTTAAGGTTTCTGTAACTTTAGTTAATCTGCGTTCAATAGTTATAGAATTATCAACAATTTAAAAGTTGCTCTAAGTGCAGCTAAGCGTAAGCCAATTTTTCAGTAGCCATAAGCTGCCATATTGGTTTACATTTGAACACTTAGCAGAATAGTGAATTAAATCTGATTCTGCACCTTCAGTGTCTTTTTGCCGAAGTGGGACCAAAAGGAAACTTGTCAGATTTTGTGCACCAAAAAATCTGCCTTTTTGCCCTGCTAGCCGAATCTTGCTTGTTTTTGCATGTAAACTCTAATTTTAATTGTAAAAATTGTTTTTTAATTGTTTTAACTGTATTTCTGTATTTGATGTTTTACTTTTCTATATCTTTCAATTTTTAATGAAAATATTTTGAGTTTTTATGTATTTTTGCCTTGCTGCAAAGTGAGAACTGAATTAATTGAATGAGAAATATATCTCTAATGATATTCAAGGAAATAAGTGTTTCCCATTAGCAGAAAATATTGTCACAAATCTGTCTCGGACAGAGGAGAATGTTTGTGAGTAGCACATGGTACTGCTATAAGAGCTATCCCATCACACAAAATAATAATGCTATGAGCATTAGGTAAACAGTGCAGAATCGTCTGTGAAAAGTTGTTTCATTTTTATTTAATTTCTTTTATGCGTCGTTTTAGATTTATTATAGTATTTGAATAGAACATGTAGTAGCATGTAGGTAATTCTTCAGATGATGTAATTTTTATGCATTCTGAGTTATAAAATGAATGTGAAGTAATACTGTTAAGTGAACCTAGCACCTGAGTGTTGCTGTGGTAAATAAATCTAGTGAATTTTAAAGAGTGTGTTTATTCTGTTGTGGTGTATGGGCTATTGACGAAGTAAATTAAATTCAGTAAGTTTAAATGATATACAAGACAAATATATTTGCATATAATTTAATATTCTGTACAAAGAAGTCATGTGGTGTACACGTCAGCTTTTTTACCATAGCATCCATATTTGTTTACGTTTTAAATTTAGCACCTCCCTTTAGCAAAATAGTGAATTAAGTCTTTCTGCACTTTCTGTGTCCTTTTGCCGAGTGGGACCAAAAGGAAACTTTTAGTTTTGTTCACCGAAAAATCAGCCGTCTTGCCTGCTGGCCATATTGCTTGGTTTTGCGTAGAAACTGTAATTTTAATTTTAAAAATTTTTTTTAATTGTTTTAACTGAATTTGGTTTTTTTATGTTTTTCTATATCTTTCAATTTTTAATGAAAATGTTTTGAGTTTTTATGCATCTTTGCCTTGCCGTGAAGTAAGAATTGAGTAAATTAATTGAATGAGAAATATATCTCTAATGAAATTAGAGGAAATAAGTTTAAATGAAATGCATGAAAAATTACATATAATTTAACACTTTGTACACGGAAGTCCTGTGGTGCACATCAGATATTTTATTACAATCAGTGGTACCTAAAGTACGTGTCCATCCACCTCTCTTATGCAGCCTTTTTTTCACAATCTTTGGTTGTAGTTAGAAACTTCCAATTACATGTTTTAAATAATTAAAAAATTCATTTTTGACTATTTCAAATTTAAAAAAAAATTAATTTTGAACAAGCAACAAAATTTAACTTTTAATGTGGTCTCCTGTTTTTTATGCATATATTTGGGAAAGTTTTATATTCCTTATGAAAAAATAAAATTATAAGAAGTTTAAAAAATGACCAGGATATTTAATTTCAAAATTTGCAAATTTTGATGTCATTGTCAACTGGTCTTGAGGTATTAATTAATTAAGTTAAAAGAATTTGAGGAAATAAGTATAAGTGAAGGGCCACAAAAATGTATATAATTTAGTGGGCCGTATGAGGATATCATGTGGTGTCCACATCAGATATCTTTTATATGTGTTTCTGTGTGCAGTGTTAAAAAATTGGCTTTCCAGATTGTAAGTATAAATTATGTATGTAATGGCTTTTGCTTTTGTATTTGCAGTTAATGCTGGATAGTTGGAATCAGAGTATATTTTCTAACATCAAGCATAGACTTCAGAATAGTGCAATGAAACTTGTCCACGCTGAAAGGAATGGAGAAGCTTTTGATTCCCAGTTGGTGATAGGGGTTAGAGAATCATATGGTATTTCTTTCTTTCTGATATCTGTTTATATGTCTATTAATAATAATGCCATAAACTGTAGAATTCAGCTTGTTTTTGTTTTGGTATGTGTTTTGTATATTCAAGAACATAGAAGAATAAAACTTAAATTTTATGCAATTAAATTTCTTTCCTTTTAAGTGTTTGTGAACTGAAAACAATTCAGTGGTATAACTGAGTTATGTGGTTTTTTAGCCATAAATTTTGCAGTGATAATTTTATCCTCATTTTAAGAGTAATTGACAATAGCCAGAAAAAATGCAGATTTTGTGTGATGGGATTTTATGTATAACCTTATGTGCAAGCATTTTGTTGTATAGGCATTATTAATATAAACGGTATTTTCTGATTATCCACATCCTACAGTCATCAAGTCATGACGAACTTTGAAGAGCATTTGTAAACAACTTGCTGTTGATTAATTTTTTGCTAAGCTAATGTATAAGAAGCAACAGTTATTTCAAAATGGTGGTGCACTAACATTTCTATACAAGAACAATCAATAAATAAAATTGGAAAAGCAATAAACATCATTAATAAAACACGTAACCTTTCTTGCACTGTTGTTCTTTCCATGTACACAGTGATCTGTTTTTACTTAACAAAAATTAGTGAGTTTCACAAATTCAGTATGGCACAGCTGCCAAAACAGGCATGTGCTGCGCACGTATCTTGATTGCCACACGAGGTTGCCACGAGGCAATTTGAGCAACATATTGCTTTTCCTCATAAATACTTTTTCATGACTTTCTGGTGGGTGGAATGAATAATTATGAAGACCATATAAACTGAATAAAATAAAATAAAATATGTAAAGAAGGAAAAAATAAAAGATATTTCAGAAAATTGTACGTTTTATTTTTGATCATGAAATTTTATTTATAGACCCTGAAAAGAATACACTACAGATTCATGCTGGGAGATACATAATCATAATACAAATAATTGCAGATAAATAACTTAGATAACTGCTTGACTATAAATATGAAGAAAAGGTTTTTTAAAAAAAGGTTTCTTAGGTTTATGTTTTATTGTCTTTTGCATTATTATTATTATTTTTAACTTCATAAATATAAACAAGTTTTCAGAAAGAAAATCACAGATTTTAATAGCACAAAAATTCTGTTTTAATCAATTTAATGGCTGCACTTGATGTATGAATGAATTTTTTTAATGTTTAGTATAAAACTGTTTAACTTAATTCTTAAATTACCCTTGCTCAAAAATATTCAACCTGTTTCTTATTTTCTATAATAAATCATTGACTAAAGTAAATCCTGCTTCCTCTAGGTAAGAAGAGGGAAAACTCATTAATGTTAGTTTGGAAACAATTTTTATGGTGTTTCTTTTGGATGACTTTTAAATTTGAAAATTTAGCATATCACTGTGTTTTGAATGATACTTGTGCTTAAACATCATCCTTTGGTGTAATGAACTCTTTTTGCATGATAATATCAAGATCAAATGTATTATTGTAGTTCAGTGGTACTATGTGCCACACTGTGCTTATTCAAAGCCCTTCACTGTACTATGTGCTTATTCAAATTTTCAATGTCTCAGAAATGAACATTTTTTTTTTTTTTTTTTTGAGTGGATTGTATCTAACAAAATATCATCCAGCAAATTACAATCCTCTTGAATAATGGATAACTGCATTTGTGTAACATTCCTTTTTTATATGTTTTCTGTGAATTCTTCTTTACTAGATGGTATAGTTCATCTATAAAAAATTAATTATAAATTTATATATATATATATATATTTTAAGATGAGTGGGATTTTGTTTATGCCAGTTGCTGGTGAATGTTCGATTCTCAACACTTTGATCTTCTTCATAACCCACTTTAGAATTTCTCCGACCCAATTGGGAAGCCGTGATTTATATTATGAAAGCCCGCTCAAGGCATGGGACATAGTTAATAAAATCCACATGTTATGAATTATCATATAGCACATATTAGTTCCTATGTCACTATTGATGCCATTTGCTTTTTTCAAATCAGGAAGCAGAAAAAATTTGCCATTCCTTCACTGGGCTTAGATCTGTGGATCTTCTAATAGCTAGCTGACTATGCTAACCCTTTATACTATGAGAGCACACAGTGGAGGATGCAGTAATTTCTTACAATATAATGCTGAAATAATAGCACAAATTAAAATTATTTCCAAGTACATGAAATTTAACAAATCAAAAATCATTTCAAAATTTGAGTAAAGTGTTTTTGGTTTCTTAGTGGTTATTGATGATGAAACCAAAAACAAATACTTGTTTTTTTTTTTTTTTTTTTTTTAAACATATTATTGTCATTCAAAGTAAATTCTTGCAGTAGAATTTGTTAATTAAAAAAGAATTAAATCAGACTCAGTTTTTCATAATTTGTTCTTGATTTGGTTTTCCTTTCATTTGTGCGGTCATTTTCTGCATGCTTTATTCTGATGTTCCATTTGAAAGCCATAAATATCTCATTGAAGCGGTATGAGACCTACTTTAATTAGTTTTTTTCATTATTCTGTTACTCAAATATCTTCAGCAATTGTAGTCCAGTACCCCAAAATGATTATGTGATACTTTAGAGCAAAGAATGTAATAAGCTGTCAAAAAAATTGGTTTTCCTTATTGCCAGTTTAAAAAAGAATTCTATAAAGACATATGCAATTTATAATAAGCGTGATTTATTTGAAAATTTTGTTTCAGTGTAACTATTTAATTCACTATTCAGCCTATTGAAATAGAATGCTTAATGGCTGTGATATTTTATTGAAATTTTTCTTTTTCAGAGATTAATTGAGACCAAAAAAGGGTACTTAAGTATTATTCCCTTTGGCTACCAAAATTGTGACAGTTGTTCCTGAAAAATGAACTGATGCCTTTTTACTTAATAAACAATCAGTATTTGACCTGCTTCATTTATAATTAATTGAATGTCCATTATTTTGCTACCTCTCTGATTTTTCCAGAAGCTCTGTTTTAGGAAACAACCAGTAAATTTTCCAAAAGTGATTGCTCCAAAGTATTACTGTTTTTGTTAACCATATGCAGTTGACCATATCATGTCAATTACACTTTTTTGGGGGGTAGACAGTAAACTTAACCTGTAAACTATACCTGAAAATAATCGATTGCTTGCTAGTCTGTAGAAAGTAAGTCCGAAATTTTCACCATTTTTTTCCCCTAAATATATGAAAAATACAACAGTAACAATTAATTTATATCCTTATTCATAAAAAAATGGGCTTATCATGTTTTCATGTCAAATTAAATTTAGATGGATATCCAAATATTTTTTAAATCATTTAAATCTCAAGAAAACTCATTAATGTTTTCTTCCAACAGTTAACTTGTGCTCAAATACTGAAGATAAGCTGCAGATTTATCGAGATAATTTTGAAAAGGCATATATTGATGCAACAGAAGCTTTCTACAGGGCAAAAGCTCCTCAATATTTAGAAGCAAATGGTGTTCAAAACTACATGCGATATGCTGATCAGAAATTGAAGGAAGAGGAGCAGCGGGCTGCTAAGTATCTTGAATCCTATTCTGGCTCTATACAATCAGTAAGGAATTTCTCTAATGTAGTGCACTTTAATTTTTTTAATGAATCCATAGCCGTAATGAGATAAAATCTGGACACTAAATTGCATCTAATTTTAAAATTACTGATTGCATTGTTTATTCAGTGCTTGTCTTTTATAAAAGCTTTTGTGAGAGAAAAAGGCGTTGGTGCAATATAGACTTAAAAAATGCGACTTATTGCCGAGTGTTATAAAAGTCCATGGGGGATGGAGAATACGGTAAATAGCAAATCGGCAATTCATTCAATATCTATGCAACACAAGTTATTTAACATTTAAATATAGAATAAATTTAACATAAATATGTGCTTATTATTATATTTAACACAATTTTGTCAGCAGATTATGTGAAGTACCAACATAACTCAACAGAACTTAATTAATGTATACACTATCTTGTTTAATTATGTAAGCAGTTTATTTAAAATAGCAACATATATAAACCATAACAGAAAATTTATGTACTGTTTTATGTAATACTCTTTTTTTTTTTTTAATTTATTAAAAAATATGTAAAAAGTACCAGAAAATTCATTTTTTAACAGTCTCTTTCTGGCAGTCACAGTTCAACAATAGCTAGTAATGCCTGAAACATCAACAGTAGCTTTTTGTTTCATTGTTGGGAGATTAAAAAAGTAAGCATGATGAGTATTTTTCAGTGAAAAACCCTTGTGTTGACACACAGCTATTAGGATAAACGAGCTAGATTATTAATCATTTGTTTCTCGCCAATGCAGAAATGTGCTAAATCGACTTTCTCACCAAGGCCACTGCCTTAGAAAGCAATTGCGATTTCTTCTAAAAGTAAATAGCAAGAAATATATTAAAGGCTGTAGATGCTGCAAATTATGCATCTTTGGTATAGATTTTTATTACAAACAAGTAGATTTTTAGTTCATTTGTTTTCCTCATATATATTATAATTATTGCATGCATACATTGTTATTACTGCACAGGTACTTTTTAATGCAGCTCTGTTTTAATAGTTACTGTGCTTTTTTTAATGTTTGCTATTGCATAAGTTCTTGATGAAATGATAATAGGAAAGTACTGAAAAGAGTTTGTACACCCTCTGTCAAAAATCTTAAGGATAGATAGATATACTAAAAGTAAATTTAAAAAAAAAAATTTAAAAAAAAATATTTTACCAGAAATAGAGGTAATGAAAGAAAATTTAAAGAAAAGATGAAAAATTGATACAAAGCTGAATAGTTTTTTGAATGCTTTTAAATACCTAAACTGCTGACTTTTTTGGTGAAAATTCTTCGAGATCAATTTCAAAATTATTTATAAATTAATCTAGTGAGTAAATTTCATATTAATATTTAATTTTTTAAGAATGTTTTCTGCATTTAAAGGGGTGTTAAACTGAAAACTTTAAAATTGTATTTTCCATTCATTGCTTTAAATCAGGAGTGTCAGTATACACATATAAAATTTTTGGAATACACTATGACGATTAAGAATAACTTGATCTAATAATAAAATTATTTTTTGAAATATTATTCAATTTTATCAAGAATTACTATAAAATCGAGTCTTGAAAAAAATTCAGTTGGTATTCAGATGTATTTAGATTAATTCTTAATCATGTATTTGTTGCATTTTGCAACAAGTTACTGTAAAAGTAGTTTTTCAAGAAACTCTAAGAAACAAAAATTGGGAGGTTGTTGCTGATGATACTTTAGCAAAATAACCCAAATTATTGTTAAATTGTTTATTCATAAATAAACACATTGATTTCTTAATTCATAACTTTAAGAGATTTGTAAAATTGTATTATATTACATTTCCCTGTTTTAATCAATACGTGCAATTTGTGAATACAAAACTTAATTTATGTTTAATTTTATTTTCATTATTGTAGCTAACTATAGTTATAGCTCTAGTTTTGCTTAAACTTAATTTATGTTTAATTTTATTGTAGCTAACTATAGTTATAGCTCTAGTTTTGCTTATCTATACAAGACCAATTCCTCATTCATTTTTGGAGTTTGATTGACATATAAAAAGATTGCATAATTACTTTAAATTGCATGATTTCTTAAAATTAATACGCTAATTACTGAATTTTTTAAAATTTGTTGCTGATAGTGTATTCCAAAAAAGCTGTTATATATTCCTTTATTAAATTATTAAAACATTACACTGGTATTCTGAAATATTACAAAATGTGTAGAAAATTAAATTAAATAAAAAATGAAAAAATAGTATTTAAATCAGAATTCAATTAGAAATAATTCCCCCTTTTTGTAAAAAAATATTAATTAGTTGTAAAGTATGATACTGAGTGTAAGAACCTAAAGAGAAAATTTATCTGTTACAAAAATAAAATTTTATTTTCCTTATTGCCCTTTAGTTGAAATAAATGCTTGCAATATGATGGAAGTACAGTCAAAAGTCATTAATCCCGACTCGTCGGGACTTCGGCGATTCCGGATTATCGATTTTTCCAGATTATAGATCATCAGTTTAAATCTCGTAAGATGGCATGCAGAAATTCTAAAATTAAAAATATGAAACTGTAATTTATGAAATAAAGAACAATTATGATCTAAAAGGTATCAAAATTTACAAAAAAAAAAAAAAAAAAAGCTTAATATTTGTTTACTTTATTAAACATTTCTTTCAATGTAAGTTGTTTAAGTTTCTTCGTTGTATGTGATAATACTTTCTTTTTAATTCTATAAACAGACATAATTTCTTGTTCAGTTACAAAATTCCGCTGTTCAAGTCCCGTAATTGCTGTGCCGAAAATACCGACTAATTTGTCAATCGAAATTTTTTTGTTTCCACTAACCTCTCTGTCACCTTCTTCATGTCTTTATCCATTTTTTGCAGCAATTCCACTTTTTGTTTGATGAACATCTAAACATACTTTCGTTTTGTAGATCCTTTCGGAGCTCCAGCATCGGAAATTCTATTTTACATAATCGAAAGTTCAAGTTTACTTTTATAAAATTGCTCTTACAGTCTGCAAAAAATAATAAGCCATATCCAATTCGAAGATTAAGGAACAACGCAATCATCAACATTAACTGAAATAGATAATTAGATAATTTTAGCTTATACCCTCTGTTATACATTAAACGCGCAAGCGAAAACGTATTCTGCGCTTGCGCACACGCATATGCGCAGTCGTAAAGGTATTACATGCATGCGTCAACGAGGCGCATGCGCAGAAAGTTTTTAGCTTTGAGGTCTAGATTATAGATCATTCCTGATTATGGGTGTCCGAATTAACGACTTTTGACTGTATTATAATTTATGAAAATGCAGAATTCTCCACCCGTAACTCTTTAAAATTCTTTGAAAAATAAAATGAGTCTTAGTTTTGTTGCTGCTTTAAAGTGCATCAAAATTTAGAATTATTATTTTTCGCAAAGTTTTTCTGCACAGACATTTTTTTAACAAACCCAAGTAAATATTAATGATTTTCTTTTGGGGGATCTTAATCTTGTTGCTGCCTGTTACATAAAAATTTGAAATTATCATGTTTGGTACAATTTCTTATATTTTTCACAAAATCTGTCTATATTTTTTTCCCTGCTCTTCTCCCCATGTACACATTAACCACTTTTCTCATAAAAAAAATCAGAGAATTGCATATAGTCTGATCAGGCACAACATTGGCATTGTAGACTAGCTGTCTATTAAACTCCTATTCCCTTTAGTGATTTTGCAAAGAAATACTGCATTCCTGCAGAAATATTACCTCAGTTTTTTCTGCGGCTGCCAAATTTCTCACACACACATATTTTAAAATTAAGTTTAAGGCAAAAAAATAGCACAATTTATCTATAAAAAACATTGGAACTCTTTGTTTACGGCACCCCCTTGAATAAAAATTTTACTAACTTAGTGACTTAGTGACTAAGGTAGTTGCAATGACGCGCAAGTCCCTTATTTTTTCCTCAAGTTTTTCTACACAGGCATATTTTTAAATACAGTACAGAGTCCGAAATCCGGATGTCGCGACGCGCAATGAACTGAAGTTGATCTGTCAGCACTATCCTTATCTTCAGGGCAGATGTTTTTATTTTATTTGGCTTATAATTCCTTACTAAATGTAGTGTTTCATCTCGATGTACTCCGTCTTTGATATGACTTAAATCAAATTCCTCGTCATTATAAATATCACGAATATAAATCAAATAGTTTTCTGGTTGCAATTTTCTGATTTCGACTATGCGTAATGTATGCTTTACGCATGCGCACATTGAAAGAAATGTTTAATAAAGTAAACAAATAAATATTAAGCTTTTTTTTTTTTTTTTTTGTAAATTTTGATACCCTTTAGATCATAATTGTTCTTTATTTCATAAATTACTGTTTCATATTTTTAATTTTGTAATTTCTGCATGCCATCTTACCAGATTTAAACTGATAATCTTTAACCGGGAAAAACTGATAATCCGGAATCGCAGAAGTCCCGACGAGTCCGGATAAAAGACTTTTGACTGTACTTTCTTTTTATCACCGCATGTTTGTCAACACATGACAACTTGAGTAATGACTCATATAGCGATGCCTAAACAATTTTTTTATGTTAATAATTGAATAATAAAGGAGTGTGGGGTAACTTTTTATGTTGACATTATGCTTGGTGATGATTACAGATTTAAGTTAAATGTGCTAAGAAATGTTGACCAGGACAAATTTACCAAAAATTTCTTTCCTTATGCTAAAAATAGATTTTGTTGATGATGCTCATAGACCCAAAGATTACATTTAGGGCTGTTTGAATTAAGAATAACTGATTTGTTATTCATGCAAACCCAGAACCAGCCCCAGGGCTTGGTGACCACGCCATGTCGCAGAATTTAAGACCCACAGAGACTGCGTCAGATGGTAAGATATCTAGTGTAGCCCTTAATAAGGCTTAAGTATATGTGGGAATTTATTTATTCAGAAAGCCTTAATTGTGTCAGTATGCTATAGAAGCAAGATGAAACTTAACGGAACAACTTGTCCTTAGTTGCCAAACTCATGATGCGTAAGCCAAATATGTATAGTGAACGATAGCTAAATTTGATGATGATAGCTGCGAATTTTAAAAGTTTTCAGATATTGCAAAACAAAGGTGAAATTTTCCAATTAACGGATTTTTGTAAAGAAATGTGAAGAAGCGATAATAAATGAAGATGATATTGTGATGACATTGTTTCTCAGTCACCAATCAATTAATGAATGGTGCAATATGTATTATGGTTTTCTAGATAGAGAAAATGCCATTACCAATAGTGAAGAAAGTGACAGAGAAGTTAATGAAAACAAGAAAATTTCGATTGACAAGTTAGTCCGAATTCTCAAAACAGCAGTTACAGGACTTCAACAATGTAACTAAGCAAGAGATTATGTCAGTTACTTTGAAAGAAATGTTTAATAATGTAAACAAATAAATATTAAGCTTTTTTTTTTTTTTTTTTTGTAAATTTTAATACCCTTTAAATCAGTGGTTCTTAACCGGGGGTGGGGGTGCGGGAGAAGCCCCTACCTAACCATAAAAATTATTAAATATCATTTATTAAATTTCTTATAATAAAATATTTGAAATCTGCAATAGTGTCCCCCAATATTGAAGCTCATAAAAATTGGTAGCACCTATAGCTCACTAATCAGCAAAAGACACAGGAAAGAGCTGGTGCCGATGGGCATATACACTGCGCTACGAAAAGGCATCAAACGAACGCGAACAGGCAGCTAGGTGACGAAGAAAAGAAAAAAAACTTTGTGGGAATACAAGCAGAGAACGTTATCCCAGCTTGCACATGCGCTGAGTTCAATATGTGCTACTCCAATGGAATCTACGAATTCACAGATTTGTATCTGCATCTACTGCGCCTGTGTTAGGTTGAGTCAAGTTGAGTCAACTATTGTGTCTGCGACATGTATTTTGTGTATTCTGACTTGTCCAGAAACCTCTTAAGACTAATACATTCTTAATTGCCCGTTCAAGCCAAATAGGATTCAGTGATGTTACAAACGTAAGAACATTATATATATTATATTACATTATTTCTAAATAATTAAATCGATTATAGTGAACCCCACTATGTCAAAAAAAAAAAAAAACGACAATGGAACGATAAGTATGCCGGTTATGGATTTACCTGCGCAACCGAAAAAGATGGCATGCAACGACCGCAATGCATCTTGTGTTCCAAGATATTTTCAAACAGCAATCTCAAACCATCAAAGTTATTAGAGCATTTCAATGTGCATGGTGGCGAAAAAGCGCATAGCATGAACAGCTTGAAGTCAACGAAGGCTCGGTTTGATACCAGTGGAACTATCCTAAAATTGTGCGGACCAGCAATTCAAAAACCTTTATTAGAAGCGTCATATCAAGTGGCGTATTTATGTGAAAAAAAAAAAAGAAACCTCACACGATCGCTGAAGAGTTGATTAAACCTTCTGCTTTAATTATTGCTAAAAACAGTTTTAGATTCGGAAGCACACATAAAAAATCCAACAGATTCCATTATCGAATGATATTATACGATCGCGAATACAAGATCTCGGTGAAGATATTTTAATGCAAGTAATTGAAGACATAAAAATCAGTCCACTAAAAATAAGCATGCAACTGGATGAGTCAACTGATGTTGATAATTGTAGCCAACTTTTGGTATTTGTCAAGTATGTGAAGAAAAAAGAGGTGATAGAAGAATTTCTATTTTGTGAGCCACTGGAGGTGAATACAAGAGGAATTGATGTTTTCAATCGCATCAAAGATTTTTTTACTAAATATCAATTACCAATGAATGTGATTGGCTCAATATACACTGATGGAGCCCCAGCAATGTTAGGCAAAAATTCAGGATTTTTTTCACACATGAAAAGAGAATTACCGGAAGTTATAATAACGCATTGCATGTTGCATCGTCATGCACTTGCGTCGAAAGCATTGTCAGAAAGTTTAAAACAACATCTAACTACAGCAGTAAATGTATTAAAATACATCCGACGGCGAGAGCTTAATCATCGCATTTTTCGTGCATTTTGCGAAGAAATCGGTGCTGATCATACCGTGCTCCTATATCACACCGAAATACGATGGTCATCTAAGGGTTGCATGCTTAACAGAGTTTTTGAATTGCATGCGGAAATTATTCATTTACTGACTAGTCAAAACTGTTAAGATTTGGAGAGTAATGATGCAGTGCTGAGACTGGTCTACTTAGCAGACATATTTAGCCATTTAAATGAATTGAATCTGTCAATGCAAGGATTTGGCATAAATATAATAATATCTAGTGAAAAATTATCTTCATGTATCGCGAAATTATACGTCTAGTAGAAAAGGGGAATTTTGCAAACTTTCCCTTGCTTGATTCTGTTATTGCGAAAAATGAAAAGAATACAATTATACCCGACATTGTAATACATTTAAGACGATAAAGAGAATCATTTAATGGATATTTTTCTACCGGAAATATTACCAAAACTCAGAGGTGGATACTGAATCCATTTCTATTTGACTTAAATTTGATGGATGATAGTGATCTGAAAAAAGATTAACTTATTGAAATGGGAGCAACTGGACATGTTCAAATGGAATTCGAACAATTAGAATTGCAACAATTCTGGTGTTCACAGTTACAACGTTATCCAGAGTTGGCGAACGGAGCACTGCAGTTACTCTTACCCTTTGCTACCACCTACTTGTGTGAAATGGGATTTTCATCGCTTTTGCATATAAAATCTGAAGCGAGAAATCGCTTAAATGCAAGTGATGACTTGCGCGTATGTCTTTCAAAAAAGGAACCTGGCTTCGCCATAATAATAATGAACAAACAACCACAGACTAGTCATTAATAAAAATAATATTGTTTTGTGTTTATATAAAATGTACAATGTTTTTCAATAAATAATAAGTTTTGCAAAAAATGTATTTTTCTAGACTAAAAAATTTTAAACACATTTTTCAATGGGGTACGACTCGCTAGAAAGGTTAAGAAACACTGCTTTAAATCATAAATACTTCATTATTTCATAAATCATGATTTCATATTTTTAATTTTATAATTTCTACATGCCATCTTACTAGATTTTAAACCGATGATCTAATATCCGGAAAAATCCCAAATCGGGAATCGCCGAAGTTCCGACGAGTCCGAATTTTGGACTGTGTGCTGTAAATCCAATTAAAGGTTACACATTTTCTTTTTTTTATGTGTGTGGGGGGGGAGGTGTAAATAGTATACCATGAATTTCTAACTGAATATATGATTAATAAACTTTTCTTTATTGCTAGCTCACTGAATGTTGTGTAAAAGTGCTTGTTACAGCCTTTAAGGAAGTAGTTTTAGCAGAGTGTCCATCAATGATCAAGAATAATGAAACAGAAAGTAAGTCTGTTTAATAAACTTCCATTTTTCAGTGCTGCATTTTGGTCTTAGTTAGAACTAAGCATTATTTTAATTATGATGGGAAGTAATTTACATAAAAATTATAGTATTGCTTAATTTTTTGAGGTGGGTAATTAAAATGTACTTTCCATCTTTTATATAATAAAAAAGATGCAATATTTTGTTATTTGAATTTCGTTGTTTTTTCTTTCTTTTTAATAAATAAAATGATCTTTCAGAGCTGCAATTAATGTTCAAATTAATGGATAGAGTTCCTGATGGTATTATCCCTATGCTGAAAGATTTAGAACATCACATTATTAGTCAAGGTTTAGCTGACATGATTGCTTCTGCAGATATCATAACGCAGGTATCTTTGTTACTGTACAATTGCATTATATATCTTTTTGATTATTTGTTAAATTCATTAATGTGAAATTTTTAGTTTGTTACTGACATCATCATGTAGAGTATAATTCATCTGACTGAGAACTAAAATTTGAAATTAACCAAAATTTTCTGGGTAACCTAACTGATCAATGTGAAGTTTGATAATTCAGATCTGAAATTGACTAAGAGGAATTTATTGATATGGGATTTAATAATCCAGGTATCAAATTAACTGAAATGCCTCTTATAAAAACCTGAAGTTCTAACCATCCCCAAAATATTTGTTCTTGAATTAGCCATTGTTCTATATTTATCCTATGTTCTATAATTTATCTTTAAATTAAATATTTAACGGAGCATGCAGAATTACTTATTTTTATATTTTACTTTATTTGAAATCTGCTTTTGTTTATCATAACTAAAAATAAATCATTAGAGATAACAGGTATAGTTACTTGCAGAAATCTGAGTAGATTGACAGCCTGAAAATGGCTAAAATTATAAAAGGTAATCCTGTATATTCTTTTCTGTGGGAATGAACATTGATTTTTTCCCATATTTTTATAATTTTGATAAACATATTGACAAAAGGGAGGAAATAAATTGTCTTTTCATGCTAGATAATAACTAACAGAGATACAATCATTATTGATTGTGAAGGAAACTTTTGTCTTTAAAAAACTCAAAAAATCTTTAAAAAAGCCCAAATTTAAAAATAAGATGATGCAGTATACAATAACAACAATAATACTCAGATGCTATTAAAGATTTTTTTTTTTTTTTTTTTTTTTTTTTTTTTTTTTTTAAGGGGACTATAACCAGCTCCTTCAAGTTGCTCCATTTTATATTCCTTCCAGCAGTCTGAATAGATCACTGATCCGTCTTGTACATGTTGAATAATTTTTTCCATTAGAGCACTAACATCTGCATTCGAGATTTGAAAGTCAGTGCATTCTCATCTTCCTGCCATATTCCTTCAAAACTCCTCTGTCGTGGAAGTACTCGGCTGCTAATGTCCTTACATTGGATAAACAAACTGTCATCGATTTCAACTATTTTATTGGGACTGCCTATTTATGCATCATCATTCCATTGAATCTTTGCATGGGAACACTTTTCCTGCATATTATTGTTCCAACCAGTTGCAGCATTTTTACATATATTAAGCTATTTGTCACACTATTTGATGGACTGCCCAAGAAATCATAAATCTTAATAGCAGAGACCAACGGTATTCTGGTACCACTAAACCAGTTTCCAACATGGAGGCCTTTCTTTTTACGATTTTTAATGCCATCAAATGGTTTCATCATTACATATGGTTTCCTGGTGTGGCTATTTTTGCAAACTCATTTGTCTAGTAAAAGACCTCTTTTTTGAAAAAATGATATGGCACCCACCTCTTTATTTGGTAAACTAAAGATTTTTAGCTGCACATTCGCAAATAAAAAGATTATTAAAAAAAATTAAACGTGAATTTGAAAATGTTACCTAAAGTGAAACACAATGATAATTTACAAACACATGGTTTATCAGAGGTTCAATCTCGGTGGCTGCTATAATAAGGAAGTACCACAAAAATGTGTAGAAAAACATAAATTAAATAAAAAAAGTATTTAAATCAGAATTCAATTCAAAATAGTCCTGTCCTTTTTTTAAAGATTTTTAGTTAGCTGCAAAGTAAGATGTTGAGCATTAGAAACTAGTGAGGCAATTAATCTTTTGTAAGTAAGTAAGATATTGAGTGTTAGAAATGTAGGTAACATATGTAAATAAAGTCTTTAAAGAATGTATAAATTAAGTACCACTTTTTAATCTTCACTGTGTGTTCTTTTCCATCACTCCAGCTTCCCTCCTCCTAAAAAAGTAAAGGTAAATAAATGAAAAGATACTTAAGCCTCTTACCAGCAAGGCTTGCATATATACGTATATTGCATATATATGTATACATGGCCTAGAATGTTTTTTGTGATGTCTGCATATATACTTGCATCTTAAAATATGGCCAAGAAATTAAGGTAATGTATTGAAAGTCCAGGAGCATTTGGCATTAAAATAAAAAAAATATATCTTATGGTAGTTTTCGAGAATTTGAAATACCTTGCTGGTCAGTGGCTTGGGGATAAGCTCTCGGGAGTACCTGCTTTCAGGAAAGTCGACTGTGTTTGCGACTGTGTTTCAGTTTGCATATAGCTCCGGCTAGCCCTAACACAGGAATCTGTGTTCCCTTGTTGGGCTCCATGGTGGGCGGGGCCATCGGACCCGAATCTTATATTTTTCAATCATGGCTTCCCTTTTTATTTTAAAAAAACCTGAGTCAAATGACATGAATCAAGATATTGAAATCAACAACAAATCAGTGAGCAAGAAAATTCGTACCGATGCAAATGCCAAAGAAACTACTGAATGTCCTTGCTTTGTTGTTGTTTCCAGTGCCTCTGAAGAATTGAAAAAGATGTCTCCTTTACTTTTAAACAAATACATTCATTCATTCATGCATAGGTGAGCCAAGAAACATAAAGCGTCTCCGTTCTGGAGACCTGCTTATTGATACCGTTTCAGCCACCCAGTCTGCTTCACTTTTACAACAAACCAAACTTGGACAGGTATCTATAACTGTGTCAGCACACAAAACACTTAATTTCTGTAGAGGCGTGATCTCTGAAGTTGACCTTCTGTCTAAGGTCTGTTTTAGAAGAAGAGTTCATGTCCGAGTTAGCTGATCAAAAGGTTTGTGCTGCCAAGCGGATCAAGATGCGTAAGGAAGGTCAGTTGATTGACACAAAACACATGATCCTGACCTTCAAATTGCCTGATCTGCCGAAGAATATTAAGGCTGGATATCTAAATTGCCCCATAAGACCTTATATTCCAAACCCCATGCGATGCTTCCAGTGCCAGCGTTTTGGCCATTCCAAGATGTCCTGTCATGGGACCCTGACGTGCGCTCGGTGTTCGTCGGTTGGCCACGATAGTGGATAAATTGCACCGCTACGCAGCACTTGTGTATTAATTGCAAGGGGGACCATCCAGCATTTTCCCCATCCTGTCCAAAATGGAAATTAGAAAAGGAAGTCCAGACCATCAAAACGTTTCTAGGAACATTTCATATGCCGAAGCCAGGAGAGGCCAAGTTCAAAGCACACAGCCTCAATCAAACAAATCGTATGCCAGCGCCATTAAATCAACACGTACACTATTAGCCACCCAAACTTCAACATAAGTACACAGACTCCATCAAATAAAACCCAGCAACCTGCAAGCAAGAAAAAGGAAAATACAACACATGTCGTACAAAATAAGGAAATAGTTATTCAAAGCAGACCAAAACATGTCCCTCCAAAATCAATTAACAAAAATAGAAGTCCCAGCAATAGTTCTGTAATTAAAATGATTTCTGAATCTACAGATTCAGATAGTATGGAAGTGGAAGAGAGTCTAGAAGTTCCCAAACATCTGCTTCCGCACAAAACTAAAAAGGAACACAGAAAGAACAAACATCAATCATATGGCCACCCTCGTCTCATGGAACTGTCGCGGTTTCCACCAAAATTTGCTTGACATCAAAGCTATGATCAATGCTTATCATCCTGTGTGCTTGGCAATACAAGAGACAAATCTGAAACCAGATCAACATGCAAAACTTCAGAGGTTTTCTCTCGTCAGGAAGGATAACCTTGCAGGTGAGCGTGCCAGTGGAGGTGTATGTCTCCTCTTCTCACTGGACTATCCCTCAAGTTCCTTTCCTTTGACGACATCTCTCCAAGTTGTCGCTGTACAAGTGAATTTTCATATTATAGTTTCAGTCGTTTCTCTGTATTTGCCTCTTAATGAACATATTGATCAGCAGGATTTAAATGAACTTGTGGCTCAGCTGCCTGAGCCTTTTATCATAATGGGTGATTTTAATGGCCATAGTTCGTTGTGGGGAAGCAAAGACACCAATTCACGAGGAAGACAAATTGAGCAGGTAATTGAAGACCAATTTAATTGCCTTTATCTCCTGAATAATGGACAGGACACTTACTTCCATGAACCTACAAGGACATTCCACGCTCTTGATCTAGCCATCTGTTCACCATCTGTATTGCCCTTCTGCAATTTTGGTGTTGGAAGTGATCTGTACAACATCGATCATTATCCCATTCTTTTATCTCTTGCACGAAAAAGAGCGAACCCCATGTCAAGACTCCCTCGGTTCATACTGGATAGGGCAAACTGGGAACTCTTCTCTTCCTCTGCAGAGCTCACACAGAAAATGGTAGAAGATGTGCTTATTGATGATGCAGTAGAAGCAGTTACAACTGATATTACTCAGGCAGCTATGCTCTCCATTCCTAGAACATCAGGAAAAATAGTAAAATACTCGAAACCATAATGGAATCATGACTGTTATGAGGCACTGAAAAAACAGAAAAAAGCATGGCGAATTTTTCCTAGATACCCAACTCTGCGAAACCTGATGGCATTTAATAGAGCCAAAGCAAATGCATGAAAAGTAAGGAGGCAGAGCCAGAGGGATTCCTGGATTTCATATGTGTCATCAATAACATCCTCTATGCCTAGTAAGCGGGTTTGGGAGAGAGTTAGAAAAACATGCGGCATATATAAAGACCACTCACTTTCCTTTTTGGAAAAAGATGGCCGAGTGATTAGCTCTATATAAGAAATTGCGAATACTATCGGTGAGACATATGCTGCCGTTTCTTCCAGCAGAAACTATTCACCTGCATTTCTTTCTATCAAGCAGCGCTCTGAAATATATTCCATCCCATTCAACTCTACCATATCTGAGTCTTACAATACAGACTTTACTATGCTTGAATTAAGGAAAGCTTTGTTGCAGACACACAGATCTAGTAAGGGTCTGGATGACGTGTATTATGAAATGCTAAAGCATCTGTCCTATAAGTCACTGACTGCCCTTCTCACACTTTACAACAGAGTGTGGAAGGAGCATATTTTTCCAAGTGCATGAAG